CGAGAGAAAGAAAACAAGGAGTCATCTGGTAAAGACCAAATGCTATATTTTCAACTGCGTAGCTCCCTTTTATACTCTCCACAAAACAGGAACACAACAGGAACAGGAAAGAAACAGGAACAAAACAGGAACAAGGAGACATACTCAGCAGCCTACCACCCAAGCTTCGATTTCTCCTTGAGCAGTCTTCTCGGGGAAATGCATAGAGACAGGGGAGCGGGCATAACAGCGCAGGTACAGAGGATGGTGACTCGCATAGTGTGAGATAGCTCACTATGTAGCTTTGGCTGGCCTGGAAATCAGAGATCTGCCTGCTTCTGTCACCTGAGTATTGGAATTAAAGGTATCTGTACCACACCTGGCCATGACTAGATACTTTTATGACTTACAGCAGATCTGAACGTTACTTCTAAGGTATTCAAGGTACCATGCACTTGGGATCCTCCCTCTGAGAACTGAAGGAAGACAAGCTTGAGGCTGATATGTGTAGTGAGATCCTGCCTCAAAAGATAAAGATAGAAACCTCCTGTTTTACTTCTGGGAGCTTCCTGTCTGAAACTAATAGTACAGTTTACCTGACACAGAAGAAGATAAGCCCTGGTGTTATGATAGCCCATGTACCCTTTTATTGACGTGTACAGTCACACTGAATATTGGAAAATGAGGCAGTAAATTTGATCTCAGAAACAAGCCTTTTCCAAAGTATAACCCTTTGCATGTCATTGTCAGGATTCTGCCATGTTCAGAATTATGGATCCTAATAAATTTTTTAATTCCTTTCTCTACGTTGGCTTAGTCTTTGCTTAAATGGACTTATGTAAGAGTGCTTATATTATGTAATTAGATAAGAAGGTAACATTTAGATGCACTCTTGTTAGTCTGTTTTTTAATATACTATCTTATTGATTCTTTGAGAGTTTTACATAGTGTATCTTGACCGTATTCCCTACATTGCCCCTAACTACTCCTAGATCCATCCCATTTCCTAGGCCCTCCAAGTTTGTATCTGCTGTTTCACTTCAGTGACCCACTGAGCCACATTGGTGCGCAACACTTTTTAAGTTTTAAGGATTTTGTGTGTGTGTGTGTGTGTGTGTGTGTGTGTGTGTGTATTTGCATATGTGGATATCCACAGAGACCAGAAAAAGTGTTGGATCCCTGGAACCACTGTGAGCTACCTACCCCGGGTGCTAGAGACTGAATTCCAGTCCTCTAGAAGAGCAAGCATTTTAAAACCTTCTGAGCCTTCTCTCCAGCCCCTGATTTACATTGTGAACCTTGAACACAGAATGTGTACGTGCAGTCTGAAATAGTTACCCCATACTACTCACATAACAGGCTTCTCTTGTCTCCATATCATATGTATGGCCTTAGGCGACACAGCTTCTCCAAGGCTCTGTCTTAACTTCTATATACTGAGGATAATGAGGTGTTACTGGCTGCCAGCTCTCTGCCTGTCCTGGTACTCCATTAAATAGAAGCTACTCTGAGAATGATTTTATTGAAGTGGCTGTGTTAGCACTGTGGTGAAAAGGATAGTGTGGGATATATAGAAATTATGCAAACACTTCCATTCTGTACCTAGAGATAGGACTGAAAGTCCTGGAATGGTAAACCTAAAACTTGGCCAGCTGTATTCTCCCTCCAGCTTCCCATGGCAGGCCATATGACTTAGACATTTTTTTTTTAATCCCCTCTTGAGTTTGGATTCTTTAAAACAGATTGGAAGCTTTGTTGATTAGAGCCTAAGGTGTATAGCCCCAGACCCTCCGCTAACTGAGTGGTTCTGGTAATGGGGTATGGATCCTTTGGTATGTTATATTTTGTTTTGATTTAGCCAGCTGTTTAATTGATTGAAAGGTAGGTGGTTGATGTAGCCATAGCAACTTTTACTGTTGTTATCATGAGTGACTGACTGGTGGTCACCAGATGTCATGTTGACAAGCTGGGATAGTAATTTCTTGTTTGTTTTGAGGCTGCATGTAATTAATTAGATAATTATGAGTTCTTTCAGTTTGGTCCTAGTAAAGTTACATCACAAAACTAAGTAAGGATTTACTTGTAAGATAAAAATAGTAATAAATATTTTACACAGTTGACACACATGTTCAACATATTTTTTCAAGCCTATAAAAAACAATGAACTCATTGTTCTATCCATAAAATATATCTAGGTAATCTCTCCTCAAAAGAACCTTTCTACCTCTGCTTTCAAACACTTGTGTAGACTTACACTTTTATAATTTTAATGATTTTCAATCTACTAATGGGCTAGCTCTGAGCTTCTTAATAAATTACAGTAAAACCAGTAAAGCAGATAAATAAAACTTGAGGGGCTGAGAGGCTCAGCAGTTGCGACAGGCTTGTGTGCGTTCATGAGCTTGGGAGGACAGATTCTGGTACCCGCATAACAAGCTGACATTTGGTGTCTGACTGTAACTCTGGCCTGAAGGAGGGTGGCAGAGAGGAGTGTTGAGATTTGATAGCTTATAGACTAACCAAGAAAGTGAGAGCCTCAGATTTAGGAAGAGCCCCCAACCCAGAGTGACAGGCTGAGATGGATAAGGGAGAGCTCTTGTGGCCACTGTGTACATGCATACAAATTTTAAAACCTGTATTACTTTCCTGGAGATAGGTGTGTGTGTGTGTGGGGGTGAGTGTAGGTGTGTGTGTAATACCTGTTAAAATAGATATACTGCTTACTGATTTTTTTTTCACTTGAGAATATATTGTAGACACTCTCCATTTGTATAGCTTTTCTGTGCACGGTGTTCCACTGAAGGATGGTAACAGTTATTTAAGCAGTCTCTGTGTGGTTCAGGCCCCCATCTCCAACTTCCACTTTTACCCACAATCACACTGAAGTGGGCTTCTACAGAGGAGCCTGTGAACGTGTTAGTGAGTCAGCGGGCTCAGTTGCTGAGTCAGAGGATATGTGCCTTGGCAGTTTTGGTTGAAACAAACTGTTCTTCGAGTCAATTCCCTGGGTCTGTACCCCCACCAGTGTGTAAGCAAGCTGGTTTCTTTCTTCTCAGCCACTTTTTCCTCCCATCTGCTGTGTTATCAGTACTGTGGAATTGTCATTGCTGGGGAAAAGCCGGCTAGATGTGTGATCGTTACAGTTTATTTCTATAAATTCCAGAGAATGAATATTACACTGAAGACCACTTTGTAAACTACGTATGTTTGCTAAATTAAATAGCTGTGCTGTTAAGTGTCTTAGGAGGTATTTTACGTTGCTTCAGAGCACAATTATACCAAGCATAGAAAATCCTTTCAATGTGAACGTGACCAGCCATCAGCCAATTAAAGCCTTCCACGAGAGTCATTCTTGTAACGCAGTGAACTACACTCTGCACACAGTGCAGGTTTGGCAGTGACCGCCTCATCTATGTGTTCTTCACATGTTGCTTTTCTCCTGTTATTTTTAGATGTTCTTTCTGTGTTTTCAGAGAATATGGTAGTTAATAGACTGGGCCTCAATCATGATTAAACATCTTAGTGTTTAATTTTTATAGTTGCTACTGCTTGTGTATAGCATCGATATATGTGTACACACACATAGACACACACAGACACACACGCACATTCACACACACACCACACAGCCTCCACATCCTGGAGTGAAACCCTTCATGCTTCCTGTAGGAAAGTAAGGGTAGCTTGTGATCCCCCCCGCCAAAGAAACATGTTCTTTTTCTCCACATTCATCTTATTACCCTATACATGGAAAATCATAAGAGATATCATGAATTGTTTTTGTCTTGGGCTGCAGTGTAATGCATATTAAAGTAATACTGTTTTTTTTTCCCCACACATTCTACACTGAGCTGCATCCCAGCCTTTCCAAAGCCCTGGAGGAACTTAGAAGGTTGTTTTTCATGCTAATATACTCTTCTAAAATCGACTGTTTATTCTAATGGCTTACTTGGGGGACAGGGGAAGTGGACTTCATAAGAACAGCAGGAATTTCATGACTTTTAAAATAATTTTTTCTCCTTATTTTGACTTTCAAATGTGGTGTTTAAAATGACAGCATCCTAATTCGTATGCAGAGAAAAATATTTGCACGTTTGACCTAATTGAAAGGTACGGAAGTGATGGTGGTCATGTGACAATGATTATAGTTAACTTGTGATTAGTATTAAATTGCTTGGAGTTACTTAAACACAAATACACATTTAAACATTATCAGGCAGTTAGCTTTTATGGATTACTTCTTAGCATACATATTACATTTTAGAGAAATTGTCTGCTTGTAACTTGAGACTTGTGTTGAGTTTGAAATTGTTTGATGCATATCCACTCCACTTCTGTCTCCCAGACAAAGTAGGTTTTTACATTAGTCAAGCAGTAAAATTTTGAGCCTTCTATGAAATATAGTCTTTTTGTGTTATGTATCTCTGGCCCATTCCTTTGCTAATCCTGGAAGTCAGTGACTCCTTACACTAAGGGAACAAAACTTTTTTGTTGAACCATAGCACCCCCTAGCATCTGAATAATTTGTGTTTTAAAAATTAAAAGAAGGCTGGAGAGATAGATGGATCAGCAGGTAAAGATGCTTGCCTGGCAAGCCATGCTGCCAAAATTCCATCTCTGGAATCCGTGTCAAGGTGGGTGAGAGAAGTGACAAATGCCAAGTTTGTCCTTTTACACACACATACAGGCTGTGGCACACAAGAATCTCACACATAGCACACATGCATACACTACCAAACAAAAGCTTAAAAATCCAGGTGAACCTTTTATGCTTATACAGTGAACCATTCAGAGAATCCTGTGTGATGTCCGTAGGTGACTGGGAGAGCCATGAAAGATTCTGTGGAAATTCTGGAGAACAGGAAGAATCACCACCATTTTCGCAATAATTCCTTTCATTCCTTTGTGTGGGATATATGGCTGTAGAGACGAGCTGTCGTCAGTGGCTGGACCTACTGTACATAGGGACGGCCAGGGGAGGGTGGCTACCCAGATGCCTAAGTGTGTCACTTGTGTTGCAGGTCCTTCTCCCAGCAGCTGGCCTGCTGCAGCTGCAGGACGTGAAGAGGACATGCTGTGAGTTCTTGGAGTCCCAGCTTCACCCTGTCAACTGCTTAGGAATCCGGGCTTTCGCTGACATGCACGCATGCACAGACCTCCTGAACAAGGCCAACACCTATGCAGGCAAGTGGAACGGATCTTAATGGAATCTGAGACTGTTGAGAATCAAGCCCCCGAGATCTCTGTGGCTCCACAGTGGAAAGTCACGTCGGGCTTCTGGAGCTGCGCCATTTAAAATTATGTTTAAAATTTAAGAATGATAGAACTGCACAATTGAAACATAGTCTTAAAATTCTGAGTTTAGAAGCAACTATAGGGCTGGGGGGGTAGGTGGTAGAATGCTCGCTTGCTTAGTAGGTGGGGAGCCCTGGGTTTGATCTCTCACATCACATAAACTGGGACTGGGGATGGATATCTGTAACCCCAGCGCTTAGGAGGCTGGGGAGGGAGGATCACGAGTTTAAGGCCACTTTGTATGCATAGTTCAAGGCCAGCTTGATATACGTGAGACCCAGTCTCAAAAAATAAAACAAAATACAAGTTATTGGGGCTGAATGATACAATAGCTTCTTTATGTAAATGTTGGATCCTTAAGTATCCTTTGAAATGCATAGGCGTATGAGAGAATGTATGCATGTATAATTAAATTATTTTGCCTTTGTGATGTTTTATGCCTTTTCCACTGTATCCATGGAAACAATTTTATGGCCTAAAAATCTTCTAAGTAATGAAATCTTGATGTGTGGGGATAGACTGGAAAGGTGGGACCCAATTATGGCCTCTCTGTTTGTAGATTTGGGTGCTATGCCACCTTTGGTATCAGCAGGTGGGCACTCGAGGCTGCTGTGTGGTCTGAGAGGTAGGTGTTAGGCCTTTGGACGGAGCTAGGGGTCACAGAGGGAGGGAGCTTGCATTGTTTCTTTGAGTTTATAAACATTTAAAAATGCATGTTAAAGTGGTCATCAGGAAGCATGCATCTTTCTGGAAACACACCTGACAGAACCTGTAGTTCACTCTGCTCCTGCAGACTTATCCCTCTTTGTTTGAGACTGTGTCTGTCCTCGAACTGCAACGGTTCTGCTCCAGCTTCCAGAGCACTGGGCTTTCAAGCCTTTGACACCACTCCTTGGTTGACAAGTGCCTTCATTTATTCTATGTTTTGATGTGCTGTGTTCTGCCTGCACATATATCTGTGCACCTCATGTATGCAGTGCCAGTGGAGGCCGGCAGAAGACGGCAGATGCCCTGGAACTGGAGTTGGGTTAACTTCAGTGTGAGTGCAGGAAGTCAAACCTGAGTCCTGGAAGAACAGCAAGTGCTTCTCATGTGCTGTTCCACCTCTCCAGCCCCGCCCCCTCTTTTTCTTCCAGTATTGGGAATTGAACCCAGGACCTTGTGCTAGGCAAGTTGTCTCCCTAAGCCACATCCCGTTATTTTCACTTTTACTGAGATACTCCCACTGAGTTGGCTGGCGGTGCCTTATGCTCATGTAGCTCAAACATGCAATCCCCTGCTTCTGCTTCAGCTTCCAAGGGAGTTGCAGTTGCAGGCATAAACTTTTTGTATGTGCTTGGCCACGACTGCTTTACTGGCACTGTTCCCTTTAATTTAATGTAGCCCAGACTGGCCTTGAGCTTCTGATCCCCACCCGAGTCCTAGGATTTCAGACAGAGCCACCATACCCTGCTCTACCACTCCTCTTCAAAATAGGCCTGATAGAGTTGAGCCATATGGGTTTCTTTGGGCCACCTGCTGGCCTAACTGCCCGTTTATAAAATCCGAGTTCCAGGAAGCTGATTTGGGGAGCTTTTAAAACCCACGCTTAAGTAAATAGAGGATGGCCCCCTAACAGACTGATGGCTGGAAAACCTTGTCCATAACGTGCTGCTTTGAATTCACCATTGTGTTCCTTGTGTCAATAGTGTTGTTCTCCAGTGGAATAGAAAATAATACTCACCAATGCAGTCTCCATTAGCTAGATATGGTGTGTATGTTTTAAGTGATTTACATTCGGCTGGCTGGGGCAGGTTTTTTTTTTTTTTAAATGTGTATAAAGCAATCATTATTTAGCTTGTCTTCCCTGAGCTGCTTCTTGTTGACACTGCACTTGATAAATGTTGGCTCTTAATGTGGGGAAGGGGAGCATAGGGGAGTAAAGGAAGATGGAGGAAGATGGATGCAAAAGAAAGAAGAGAGCGGAGACGGGCCTGTGCTGCACCAGAGCGCCTGTGGCTGCTCCGAGGGGGAAGACCAGCACGCCACTTAGCTAGGCTCTCAGGAGACTCATGGGTTCTATTACGTTTTTCTCTTATTGAAAGTCATAGATTTCTCTTGGCATACTGCAGACTCTGGGAAAAAAGTTCTCTCAGAGTGGAAACGTCGATGTCTTTACTCTGTAGAGTCCTTCATGATTGTACAGATTTTTTTTTTTTGAGAAGAAAAAAATGACATTTTTATAAAATGACACAGAAGCATGGATTCTTCATTTTTAGAGTGCTATATTTTAATTCAGAATCTCCTCTTAAAGACTATGTTCCATTTATGTTTGCTTCTGAAATTTACATTTGCTTGAGTTTCTTAGGTTTATAGGTAACATTTTAAAACATCTTTTACTATGAAAAGATACAAATATACAAAAAAAAAAAAAGAACAGTGCTTATAATCCAACCGGAAGAGCTCTCAACTGGTAGAGAATCTTTCAACTGTAATCTTCTTTTCTTACCCTTTATGCATGTAGAAAGTCTTGTTGTTTTGAAATAGTTATCATAGTTTATCCTTAACTACATAGGGAGTTCAAGGCCAGCCTTAACTCAGCGAGATCCTGTCACAAAGGACAAGGAAAGGAATGGGGTGAGTGGTGGGATGGCTCAGTGGGTAAGGACACTTACCATTATGGCTGATGGAATCTAAGCCCCGGTGGTTGAAGTAGAGAACCGAGCTGTCCTCTGACATCCATGTGTGTGCTATGGCACACCCATACAGTCAGTCAGTCAGTCAATCAATCAAATATTTTTAAAAGAGGTCACAGTAAAATCCACTAGTTGACATAACTGATAAGGATTAATCATAATAATAAAATTGTTAAGTGAAGAATTTACCATGACCTCTGCCTACTGACTTACTAGGATTATGCTGGCTAGGAGCAGTCTTCTCATATGTTTTAGGTGATATGTATATTTTAAACATTTCCCAACTCAATGAGACCTTTGTCTTAAAACTGCTCCGCCCCTGCACCCCCGCCCCCAGGGTTTCTCTGTGTAGTCCTGGCTGTCCTGGAACTCACTCTGTAGACCAGGCTGGCATCAAACTCAGAAATCCGCCTGCCTCTGCCTCCCAAGTGCTGGGATTAAAGGTGTGTGCCGCCGCCGCCGCCGCCACCACCACAGCCCAGCTTAAAGCTGCTTTTGAAAGCTATTCTGGCTTGCTTTCAAAAGTAGCTTTAACAGATGGCTATAAGCTATTGTAAACAGGCAGTTTTTGTGACAGTTTACCAGCCTGAGTAGTCATAGACCTTGTAAATAGGTAGCCTTGGCAGACAATACCAACTTAGATAAGGACAAGTGAATCATAGGCAGAGCCATAGCAATCTGTCCCCTGAACCTTCACCCAGCCGATACCCGGTTCTGAAAGATATCTGTACTCCCCCGAACACCCACACTCCAGTGTCATCCCCTTACCCACATCCTGCCTTTCTGTGTTTATAACCCCTGTATGAATGAGTATAAATTACAATTTGAAAAAAATAAATATATTATATTAAAAAAAAAAGAAAAAAGAAAAGAAAGCAAGCCAGAGATTCAAAGAAGCTGGAGTGCGGCTTGTCAGCTTAGATGCACTTTAATAATTTTAGTAAAAAGATACTTTGGAAATTGAATTTTGATTATAAATTGAAATATGAACTTTTTAAAGCCTTCCTTGCTGGTAGTTGAATTTCATGATTTCATGCAAAAACAAGGGGAGAACAGTCTTGGAGTCCTCATTGTACTGTACCGACCTGACTCACCACTCTTCAGATGAGAAAGTACTTGGTTCCACTTGTAACTGAACTTGGGGGAAACAAAGTATCACTGTGTCTGCCTTGGCCACCATTCCCAGGTTGGTGAACACTCAGCCTTGCACTGTTGTCTGTGGGTGCTCCTCAGCCCCGGGGCCAGTGCTCACCCTTCCCCAGGCATTGAACCGTCGCCTTCCCATGCCTCCACTAGGCCTGTCCAAGGCTATTGTTTGAGATGTCTCAATATTTTATATATGCGCTTTCCTTTGTCTTAATGTAGCTTTGGTCTACGACTGTATGTAACTGGCAGAGGTCCGTGAGGCCACTCGCTCTAGCGCATTGGGAAGTCATTCAGCCCCTTGACTGCTCTGTCTTGTCACCAGCCTTGGTTCTGCACTCTGTCAAAAGAAGGGTGAGCACTGGCTCCGGGGCTGTGGAGCACAGAGCAGAGCAGTCACTGACCCGGGAATGGTGGCTGCTGCCCTAGTGTCTCTCTACTGCGTTCTCTCTGCACCACCATACCTGACCAAAAGCAGTTCTACAAGATTTTATTCTGCAAAAAGTGTAACTTAGTTAAATTTTTGTGTCTACCCTCCCATAATTAGGCAAGCAGCCCCTGCTTGGTGTAAACGTCTGTGAGAATAAACTATGATTCAGATGCTGCCCTCACTAAGGAAACACCGTTTGGAGTATGTGATTTAAATAATGGCGTCATCGGCTTGACTGTGTCTTGTGTGTACTGAAGCTGAGCGTTCGAGGGTCTGCGGAGCGTTCGTCTATTGATGCGGAGATCTTCTGGAAAACACACAAGCACTCAGCCTACACTTCTCAATGGTGCTTCTTAAGAGAATTAATCATTCTCAGCATCCTCACACCCATCATGGCCCTTGCTTATATCTCATTAAACTACACAAAAGCTCAGCTCTGCTAGCAGATTTTCTTGCAGAGATGAGTTAGCTGTTTTCAGCCCTCTGAGTTAATGAAACTGGCAGCAGTGTGTGTGTGAGGGTTTTTTTTTCCCTTCTAGAGATTGAGAGTCAAAGCCTCAGTGTTACCGTGTGTAGGATCTGTGGCAGCTATGGAGTTATTTTATGAATTTGGAGAATGAAGATGAAATAGATACTTACTT